GCTCCCGAAAGCACCCATCACAACAAACGACCTAAGTGGTCAGTTTCCAAAGCCCTCATATGCTATGGGCTCCGCGGTTGATGTTGCAACTATATTCGCCAATTCTCTCTGTCGACGTTTCGGCGGTGAGCGTCTCGAGGAGCTCCTGCTAAGCGAGTGCAGGCCGACAACAGAGGAGGTGAACAAGATCTGTGATGCAGCCGCAACTCTTGGCTTGAGGAGGCTTGGTTTCGCGAATAATGATCTGACCAGAGAGGGGTTGGAACACGTTGTTCGGTATCTCAAATCGAGTAAATGCGAAGGACTCGACCTGGGTGGCAATCCCATAAGAGATCATTTGGATCTAATTATATCGGCTATTGACAGAGACACTCCCCTTTACGCATTGAGTCTTGCTGACTGCGCACTTACTCCGACTGCGATCTATCCCTTGCTCCAAGCACTGACTCGCATTCCTAACCTCCTTTTCATTGACTTCTCCCACAATCCAGAACTCTTTTCCAGCCAGCCCGATGCACTGGCGATCTTCCGGCGTTTCCTCCCTAAGATGCCCTCATTGAAGCGTATCCATCTGGCCGATGTGAATTTGTCAGCTGACCATGCCATCGCTCTTGCGGAAGTCCTTCCCGAATGTCCTAGTTTGTGCCATCTGAACATCTTGGAAAACCCTGCCATTATTGCTCTGGCTGCTGCAACAGACCCCGGAAACCAGGAGGAAGCCTGTGCTATTTACGCCTCTTTGATGGCTGCGGTGCGTGTGTCGCGGACAATCATAGAAGTCGAAATCGAAGTTCCAAGCGCAGAGAACAATGAAGTTGTGAAGGCCATTGCTTCCCAGATCGTTGCCTATTCTCTTCAGAACCTTGAACGAGGTGCTATTGACGGAGATCTGTCGGTGCCGGGAGACCCGTCCTCTGCCCGTGCAACTTTGCGTGTGCCTGAGATTCTGCAACATATTGTTGGCTCCGGTGGTGGTGACGAGTGTTGTGAAGAACATGAGCCAGCTCCTGATGAGGACTATGTAATTGGGGGTACGGGCGTAGTCAAAGCTTTAGGGGTCTGTCTTGGCAACCTGGATCATCATATGCCAGGGGACCAGTCCGGTCCACCAAGTGGCACGACGACTCCTAGGCATAGGAAATCTCGGTCTTATGTAGCGAAAAGACCCCGTGATATGTCGAAGAATTTACTCGAATCCGCTCGGAATATCCGGACCAGGATACAGTTGGCTCTTGTCCGTGAGGACAGAGCCGGCAATGATAGCAACTACAGTATGTCTACCCATCACCTTAACCACCCGATAATGATGACGCTAATTTGTCTTTTCTCACCCAAGGGCGTCTCCAATTTCTTGACATCACCTTGGATAAGATGATTCAGCGATTTGAAGACGAGTATCCCGAGACGCGAATCGTACCGCAGCCGGTCTTTTCTACAGCCCCGGATACCAGCTCTCAGAATTCGGGGGACGACGTAAATTGTGGACCTGTATTTGGCACCCAACCAGCAACTGATCACGACGATGAGTGTGCTATTGATGATGAAGATGCCGATCAGTACGTCGTGGGTATATCGCGAACAAGCTCGATGACATCTCTTCATGCACGTGCAATGACCTCCGAAGAAGGTCATGTTCATCGTCTCGGCCAGAACCTTCGCCGTGATTTCCTCAATCCTTCATTTGATCAGACATATGACGACCCGTCTCTTACCTTAGATGATGCTCACATTGCCGCTCTTCGGGAGAAACTCGAGCGTCTGCAGGAAGAGCAGACACACCCCCGTTTCGATAGCGTAGCTACGGACAAAGCATTCGAAGACCTAGGTTCGACCGTGGAGGAGCTGTGGGCAGCTCACAAACAAGATACCGAAGCTTTTGAGAAATTTAAGCAGAGTCAGATTGCGGCTCAGATAAATAGCGGGAAAAGAACCGCATCGTCAGGGACCGGCGCTGGCAGCCAGAACAGACAGGAGTGAGCCAGACCGGCAGTTTTCATCTGAAGGAGGGACATATCTTGCTGCAGCGACTATTTAGCATGTGCAAAATTGCCTTCAATGCTTGGCAACTTTTTTTTTATGAGAAAGATGATGCACTGGTATCCAACTATAAATCAACATTTCTAAGATTATCAGTGTAATCGTTCAACTTAGCATTTATTATGAAATATTATCAAAAGATATAAATATATATAAACCAATAATTACTTACTTACTAATATTATATCTAGACTTACCAAAATCTACAATATGTGGATAATTTAAAACCAAAATGTACTTTACCTTTATCTAGGATCGGATAATTAAAAGCAAGGAGTTTCAAGAATAAAAGACCGAATTAAATATGATGCCAGCTGAAAACACGCGGCTTAAATCGCTACGCTGGCGGTAACATTTTGTAAGAACGTGTTTCAATTATGTATGCCGGCATCAGATTCATACAATTCATTCTCAGCTTCGTTAATAGTATGTCGAATGGGATTTATGGGTGGATAATATTTATCTCTACAGCAAGTTTTTGCATTCTGCTCCTAGATCGTATTTCCACAGGAGTTGTTGGAATCCGTAAGACGCATATAAGAGAAGGCTTCGGCCGAATGTCAAGGTAGGCGACCCGTCTAAAAGGACATTTAGAATTTTATGGATACACGTCCCCTCTGAAGGAATTGGCCGATGAAAGTAGTAGACCAGAAAGATCCAGGAAAGTGACCAGGATATTGGATTCAGTAGTAAGACTGGTCGGGCAGCGCTCTAATCATCCACGCAGATGCTATGGCCGCCACCCCGGCGATACTCAGCAGCCACGCATATACAGCGGCATCAACCTCACCAGCATGATCATTCCCCGCCAACCAGAAGAACATGCTACATCCCAGAGCAGAAATGACTTGAGGTGAGGCAATCGATATATTATGTATACTCATAACCTTGGCAATCTTTCCCGCGTCCTCATAATCCATCCCTGCATATTCAGCCCGTTGTATTTGGCGCTGGATATCCGTTCCAATCAACGCATAGGGAATCCATGTGCTTGCTGCCCATGAAACTCCGACTGCACTCACAAGGAAGTAAGTTACGGCGACATTCTTGAACAGGGTCAGAATCATACTGCCAGCAAAGATCATTTGGCCTGCCAGCCAGATGCGGCGGAGAGCGAATGAATTTGGGAGATTTTGCCAGGGAGACATAAAGGAGGAAGGGTTCTCAATGCGAGAGCTCAAATCCAAGACTCGAGGGAGTACTAAGCTCATGACGAAGGATGATAGGGCGAAGACGGACATGGCTAGCGATCCAGCACGGGCTGATTCCTCCCATTGTGGAGTTAGCTGTTGTGAGTCGATTGAGAGTTCTTGTTTTTTCAGTGTCCCAACATAGCTATTTGAAGAAAGCAGGTCAGAAACGCAAAGGTCTATTTGATTCTAGGATTGAATTCGGTGGAGACAAAAGGAAGCCTTACCTGGATGTGTAAAAGAGGAAAGGGAACCAGCCTAGCCAAGAGAAAAATTGAGCGAAACACACAGTCGCTGTACAACTCGGGAGTGTTTTGAGTGTCCTCAACAGATCCCGGATGCCACTTTTGGCCGTTGATGGTAGGCGAGCAGAAGATTCGTGAGGGCCAGAAAACGGCTCTCTAATGAAGTAACAGGTGATAGACGTGCACAAAAGCAAATTTACCGATACCAAGCTGGTCAAGACTTGGAATTGGGTATGGCCCAGAAAGGACAAACGACGAGGAAGATCAATTGAACCGAGACAATAGCCCAAAATGTTTCCTCCTAATGTGAATCGCGCAGCCCATGCATTCGCCTCGTGCTGTTGCTCCGGAGGTACCAAGTCTACTATTAAGCATCTTAGACCAAGTTGAACCGGTTGGATAGCGAAGTTCAGGACCCAGATGCAAATTTCCACAAAGATAACCAATCCGATCTGGAATTCAACGATTGACTCCGAGTCTGAATAGAAAAGGGATACCATTTCCTTTGCCCACGCTGTGCCACTTAGCGTGAAAATGATGAGGACGGTACCAGTGAGAATAAATGGACGCCTCTTTCCCCAGGCTGAGGAACAATTGTCACTCCATACTCCAACGTATGGCTGGAACAAGGCTCCAGTGATGGGACCAGCAAGCCAGGACAGTGAGATGAGCCCTCCGCTCAAACCGAGAGATTTTAGATACGCTGTCGCACTTCCAAATAAAACTGTGAAAATGCCTTGTAGCCCAAAAAACCCTGCATTCAGAACAAAGAGACTCCGCCCCCGTCCATAGCTCCATGTATTAGGTCCTGGAGAGTAGGAGAGACCAGCGCCTTCCTCCACGCCAGGGGATGATTCTGAAATGGGTTGTAAAATGTGCATAGTAAGAAGATCAGTTTTCAATGGCAGAAATAACTTGAAAGTAGGAGCATGACAGATGCGACCGTCAACGGGCTTCTCTATTGGGCCCAATTCATCTGCCCCATCATGCCACACGGTATTCATTATTTGGCATTCATAGCTCTGGTGGGTCCGATCGGAGCATTTGCCGGCGAATATGCGGTTGTTGTTTGTACAATTTAATAACATCTTCATTTATGGTCCATTCTGAAATTTGGCAAGTTGGTATGGACCTGGAGTGATATTCGCCTTCCCATTCACCACTTCAACGTACATACGAGAACCCTTTCAAGATGTGACCCCGAGAAAAGGTTTGTTGCCTCCCCACTATAACCAATGGAATGACCACGGTCCCTGATCTTAATTTGTATAAATAACCAAAGGAAGCCGGGTTATATAACATTGAAATTAGACCGGAGGATATATGATGAAGAGAACACCCGAGAAGACCACCAAAACCAGGACAACCCGACCTCCGCCGCTATAAAAGCGGTACACTGCGAACTATCATCAGTATTTGCAGCTGGTCAATTTTATGCATCAGCCCGATTATACCAATGTTGGTCAAGATAGTCACATATCAACAAATTGATTGTAATTCTAAAGAATAGACAATCATTCATCAACCAGGCAAGATGACCGAGTGGTTAAGGTGCGCGACTCAAGCAACTGCTTGTCCTAGCAAAACTAGGGTGTCTTCGCGTGTCGCAAGACGCGTGGGTTCGAATCCCACTCTTGTCATATTTTTGTACTCTTTACGGAGTACTTATTATCTAAATAAAGATTGCTGACGATGTTTCTACTTTTTCGTATCCAAAACTTACAGTTACTCACGCGACAATATTTGCAAACATAATATTCGAGCGTTATTATGTTATCACATTCCTCGGCTTCCCCAGAAAGTCGAACGAATGACCCACCCGTTCACATGCCATCTTCCCTGAGTTTATCGCCCATCGTCATTTAATCCTTCTTTTCTCTTCCTTCCTCTCACCTTTACTTTCTTTGCCCACCTCACCATTGTGATACGGTCCGTGCAACAGCCAAATTATCCGACCCATGGCCATGTTATCCGTAGTCGACTCTGGCTGAAGATTCATCTGCCTATCTTGTGCACGGCCTCTTCCTCCCGCGATGGCCGCTCAGTCCAAACTGCTTCCTCCCGAACGATCGGTTCGGCAAATCTTCTCCAGTCTAACGGTCTTGTATCTGCGACACCGTACTGGAATCTCTCGCGCGGTCTATCTGGCGTTCTTTGCGGCTTTAGCGAAGCGCATCCATAATGCCATCTCCGAACAAAAAGCCGCCTCGCAACAACAAGTCGAGCTGCGGAGGCGCCCAGGCACTAGCAGTCTTGGGGATGGTGGCGACAGACCACGAAAGAAAGTTGGGGTCAACCGGGAATTCTTTCGGAATCTAACTCGGCTATTGAAGATAGTGATCCCCAGCTGGCGGAGTAAAGAGCTACGGTTGCTGGTCGGCCACAGTGTCTTCCTAGTGCTGCGAACGTTGCTCAGCTTGTACGTCGCCGAACTAGATGGGAGGCTAGTCAGTAACCTAGTGAGAGGGAAAGGGAAAGACTTTCTACTGGGGCTTGTGTGGTGGATGATTGTTGCCGTCCCAGCGACTTTTACCAATTCCATGGTATGTCATGCTCCAGTTCTGGTCGACTCTTGGTGAAGTGAACTACGTCAGCTAACGGTTTGTGATCGTGCCAGCTTTCTTATCATCAATGTAAACTTGCCCTCAGTTACAGGAAGCGCTTAACAGATTACATCCATGAGAAGTACTTGAACAACATGACCTTCTACGCGATCTCTGCCTTGGATGATCGGGTCAAGAACCCCGATCAGCTCATCACGGTTGATGTGTCTCGGTTTTCCGATAGTCTTGCGGAGCTCTACTCCAACCTAGCCAAGCCAATCCTGGACATGGCAATTTACAACTATTCGCTCTCGAAAAGTGTCGGCGGAGAAGGCCTATTTATCATGAGCCTTTTGGTTCAGTTGTCCGCTAACGTCATGCGTGCGCTAACGCCACCATTTGGGAAATATGTTGCCGACGAAGCCCGCTTGGAAGGAGAATTCCGCTTCCTCCATTCCAGACTGATCGACTATAGTGAAGAGATAGCCTTGTATCATGGCCACGAGGCAGAAAAGGATACTCTGGACAAGGGCTATTTCACATTGATCAAGCATGTGAATCGCATCCTACGCAGACGGTTGTATCATGGCTTCATGGAAGACTTTGTCATTAAGTATTTCTGGGGCGCTCTAGGCTTGATTTTGTGTAGTATCCCAGTTTTCTTCAGATTTCCCGGTCAAATTACTCAGACCATGGGAGATCGTACTGAAAGTAAGTGCGAGAACTAGGTTCGATACCCGAGACTGAGCTGACTCTCTGTAAACTAGGTTTTGTTACAAATAGGAGAATGCTACTATCCTCTTCGGATGCGTTTGGTCGTTTGATGTTTTCTTACAAGGAGATCTCGGAACTGGCCGGATACACTGCCCGTGTCTCCTCATTGCTGGAGGTCATGGACGACCTCTTGGCCGGGCGCTTTGAGAAGAAGTTGGTTTCTTCCGCATCTACAGAGGAGAATGCAGCGGTCTTGTCCGGCCGGGGAGAAGTTGAGGAGAGTGACTCGATTGAATTCACTGACGTCCCTATCGTCTCACCTAACGGAGACGTTTTGGTACGGAAATTGTCATTCACCGTGAATCCTGGTGATCATCTCCTGATCGTGGGACCTAACGGATGTGGCAAATCGTCTTTGTTTCGGATCCTTGGTGGCCTATGGCCTGTCTACGGAGGCAAAGTGAAGAAACCTCGATTCGACGAGATCTTCTATATCCCGCAACGGCCGTACTTGTCCCGCGGCACCCTTCGTCAGCAAGTAATCTACCCAGATGGACTTCGCGAAATGCGTGCCAAGGAGATCACCGACGATGACCTTTATGATATCCTCTCCATTGTTGAAATCGCATCAGTCGTGGACCGTCCCGGCGGCTGGGACGCAGAGGAGGAATGGCGCGACGTGCTCTCGGGTGGACTCCAACAGCGCATCGCCATGGCAAGACTCTTCTACCATCGCCCGAAGTTTGCCATTCTGGATGAATGTACCTCGTCAGTGACTCTCGAAATCGAACGGGTCATGTACGAGACTGCAAAGAAGCTCGGTACAACTCTGATGACTGTATCACATCGCCGCAGTCTTTGGCAATATCACAAGCAGATTTTGCAGTTTGATGGACAAGGAGGCTACATTTTCACGGGACTAGACTGGGAGCGGAGATTGAAACTAGAAGAGTAAGGCCATTACTACCATTCATCGTTGCATAGTTTTATAACACTGGGACTGACATTATACCTATAGTGAGAAAGAAGAGCTCGATCTTCACCTCCGCGCTGTTCCAGAACTGCAAAGACGTGTGGCCGAACTGAGTGCTTCCTAACCATGTACTGTACCTCCATCCCTATCGTATACTTATACTGGTGTCCATCATTTCTGGGAACTTTCGGACTGCGAGCTCATATCTTCCTCTGGATACATGATATATGAATCACTTCCTTTGTTTGGAGTATTTCAGCGAGTGCACAGATGTATGCTTAGTGACGATTGACATTACTGGCTTAGCTGTGGTTTGTTCCATAGATACATATCTGCACTTAGCCCTAGTTTTGTTCACTATATACAAGAGCGTCGAAAGTGAACCAATTGAGCATAAAATATCAGTAGGGAACTCTACATGTAAGTCTCTAATTAATCCTGCAAGGAGATCGTTGCGGTGGTCGTCTCTCCCTTGCTATGTCGGGATAAGTGGTATGTTACTTCTTCAGAATGGTGGTTGACATTGTTGGGGGATATCTTTATAGTTAAAAAAGGTTGTGATGCTGTGTACTAGTTCGAACATGCAGTGAACAGTTAATGAATGGTATACAGAGTATATAGCAACTGCTTCACCACCTTTCTCCCCTTCTTGAACACTTGTAATTGTTCAGCATTAAAATCAGTGATGCAAAACAACAGATACAATACACAAGGACTTGTGTGCATTAGAACCTTGAATCTCAAGACCGAGATAAGCTGAAAGAACAGTAACAAGCAAAGAGAAAAACCGCAGTTGTACTGTACTGTACCTGGATTGGATTGTATGCAGTCAATTAATCCTTCACAGCGAGAGGTTCTACATTCCAGATGCCATCCGCATATTCATTGATCACACGATCCGTAGAGAAAAAGCCCATGCGTGCAACACTAGTAATAGACTTGGTTATCCACTCATCTTGGTTCTTGAATGCCTCATCTACCAATCCCTGGGTCGTAATGTATGAGTTGAAGTCATCGGATACAAGATAGTAGTCACCATGCTCCTCAATGGACGCAATGAGCGCAGAGAAGTCATCGGCATTTCCGAATGTGCCACTTCGGATGGCATCAAATACCTTGGCAAGTTGAGGGTCGAGCTGGAAGTCGCCATAGTAGTGACGATGACGGAGCTCTTCGACATCTTCAGCCAGATTGCCGAAGAGGAAAATATTTTGCTCGCCAATCTCGCGAGTGATTTCAATCTGTACAGGGGGCACAACAGGTCAATGAAATAGTCTTCTGCAAATCGAAGAGAGGGGCGAAACTTACATTAGCACCATCACAGGTCCCAATGATAAGCCCACCATTGAGAACAAATTTCATGTTACTGGTACCGCTAGCTTCAGTGCCAGCGGTCGATATATGTTCGCTGATATCCGAAGCAGGACAAATTATCTCTGCCTTGCTTACATTATAGTCCTGAATAAAGATTACCTTCAAAAGGTCGCCAATATCCGGGTCATTGTTCACGACGGATGCCACATTGTTGACAAGATGAATGACAGTTTTAGCCATCCAGTATCCTGGTGCTGCTTTACCACCAATAATGGATACTCGTGGCAAAACATTCTTTCTGTCTCCCGGAGACATAGACTTGATAGTCAGATAGCGATGGATCACACCGAAGATATTGAGTTGTTGGCGTTTATACTCATGAATACGCTTTACCTGGATGTCAAACAGGGCAGTAGGATTGACACTATAGCCAGTAGTGTCTTTGATGTGCTTAGCAAGACGGACTTTGTTGGCAGTCTTTATCTCCGCCCATTCCCTTTGGAATTGTTTATCATCGATAAAGGCTTCCAGTCGATCTAGAAGTGTCAAATCTGTCAGGAACTGGTATCCACCAAGCTTGGTGGCAATCAGGTCTGACAACCGCGGGTTGGCCTGGTGTAACCAGCGACGCGGAGTGATCCCATTTGTGACGTTGGTAAACTTATCAGGCCCATAAACCTGCACAAAGTCTTTGAAGAGCGTGGTCTGTATCAAGTCGGAGTGGAGTTCAGCGACACCATTGACTTTGTGGGATCCAATAATCGCAATGTGAGCCATCCGGATCATCTTTGGGTGGGATTCTTCAATGATTGACACCCGTGACAGCAAATCTCTGTCATTGGGGAATTTCTTCTCTACCGTCTGTAGGAAAAACAAGTTGATATCAAAGATTATTTGCATGTGCCGTGGGAGAAGCTTCTGTATTAGAGGAACAGACCATTTCTCCAGCGCCTCCGGCAACACTGTATGGTTGGTGTATCCAAAAGTGTTGGTCACAATGGTCCACGCATTCTCCCATGTGAGTCCTTCCAGATCAACCAAGATGCGCTGCAGCTCGACTATAGCCAGTGTTGGGTGTGTATCATTGAGCTGAATA